TGAGAGGGAGGGGTAGAGGGGATGATTCAGGGTTATTGAAAAGGGAATTTTTACATGAAGAAATGAAGTTCTTTATTGGTGAGCTACAGATCAGTTTTTTTCTGACCATTTATTTCCCATGATCAGAATTGGCCACCCATATTATGCGAATTAATACAATGTAATCCCTTTATTTGAGTTTTAAAAATTGTATTAAAAATTATACCAACAAGCCCCAATCACACACGCCTTAGAGGAAAAAATTGACCATTGTTTAACCGAAATTCAGCCAAATCTATGTAAAATAGCCATTGAAATTTTCATTATAAGGTTGCGTATGTAAGGGAGAGTCGGGTACCCCCGCCCACAGTCAATTTCATATGTATAGAATATTTTTTAAAGTCAATGGGCCATCGGGCATTAATTGTTATATTAAAAAAAGAATATTTTCAAAGTTGCAAGTATTTATGCAGCTGCTAACATGGTAAACAATAGTTTTGAAAATATGTTGAATACAGTAGTCATGAAATTAAGAAAAATTGGTTGAATGTTTCGATTAAACTTCATTTTAATACTAAAAAAATAATTTTTTCTTTACATACAGCATTAAAGTATGTAGTCTTAAGTTTAATTTGCACGAAGAAAGAATTTTATATGTGAAAAATTGTTCGAGTAATTACAAATTTACAAAAAAATTGGAGCCCCGCATGTGAGCCTGTAGAGAAGATTCATGTGAGCCCCGCTCCCATGAATGTCGGGTATCACCGTCCAATTTTATTTCGTCGATAAATGTACGGTTGCAAAGATTATTATTTTATTGCTTCAAATTTGAATGTTATATGCATTTTTNAAATTAGAAGCGGGAAGAATAAAAAGTCGAGAAAGTTTGAGAAGAATGTTGATCTAACTGCGTTTGTCACACTTAAAATGTCTAGTAGGGTTGACGAGAACGAATTTAAAAATAACTCAGTTCGAAAAGTTCAGACCTCCCAGGTGAAGCCAATTATAGAAATGAACTGGTTATGTTCACAAAAGCTTGATAACATCATTTAGATTTTATCAATCAAGTTTAGATAACAGAATATTTATTTAATATGTCTAATTAATCTGTCACTAACAAACCTCTAATCAACAGTTTCTCTCAAAAAAATCTTAGCAAATGAGTCTTGAAGCTACAATGAAAGAAGAAGTTCACAGAAAATCGGCGCTACCATGAAAAAAAATATTAAAAGAAAAATAAAAGTTCACTTTAGAGCCATAATAGCGATGCTTTTACCGATGCCATAATAGCGATGATTATGCTAAATACAATATACTGTAACCTTAATATAGTGTAAGACCCTTAGAATCGCGTAATCAAAGTTAAGAAATGCAATAATATGGTTCAATTTAGCATCATATTAAGGTTGCGGAATATTTAGACGATATTATGGTTCAACCAAAATTTCTAACAATGTAATGTAAAAATTAAAATATATAAACACGCAAGCTATTTTTATGGACATACAGCAAACGAGCATTAAAATTTATATTTATTATAGCGATAGCGAATGGTTTCGTATCAGCTATTTCAATTATATTTTGCTTTTAAAAGACTATTTCGTCGAATTTAACTTAAAAATTATTATCAATATGATTTACTTGATAATTACATGTCTTTAAATAGATATTTAAATCAGATAGTTGAAAATATTTAGAGGTTGTAATTCAAACTATTTTGATTCAATTTAGATAGTATAATAATTTAATACTTTAATCACAACTCGGAAAAATGCTAATAATGAAATGGCTTATGGTGAGAATTCAAAATTCCTCACAAGCTAGAACTAAAAACCGAAAACTACTTTACCCTAAGAAATCCAACAGTTCTTCTGAAAACGTAGAAGGTTCTTCAAAAAAATTCACTTAAGATTTAAATTTTGCGCCATTTCTGTTATGAAATAAGAGGAAAGGACAGGGAGGATGATTCAGGGTTATTGAAAATGGAATTTTTGCACGAAGAAATGAAGTTTTTAATTGGTGAATTACAGATCAGTCTTCTTTTCTGACCATTTGTTTCCTTTTATGGTGATCAGAACTGATTACCTATACTATGCGAATTAATACAATATAATTTTCTTCCTTGAGTTTCAAAAAATGTATATCAGAATTATAAAAACAAGCCCCAATTACACACGCCTTAGAGGAAAAAATTGACCCCTGTTTAACCGAAGTTCAGCCAAATCCATACAAAAGAGTCATCGAAAATTTCATTATAAGGTCCAACTACCTGCATTCTATTCCATAAATAATCTGATTCAGTACAAGAATCATACTGTTTTATTTAAAAACCTGTTTTTCTTGTCAAAATTACATCTTCTGAGAATTTTAGAGGACCCATGATTTAGGATAAATTATGTTCAGATTAACAAGAAACTAATTTTATTTTATTTTTTGGTTAAATAGATAAATACTTTAAATTTTTTTCACAATATATTTTAAAAATCAAATTTTATTAAAAATAGTAAAAATAATTCAGATGAAAATTTCCTCCAATAAATAAAAATTTCCTCTAATAAATAAAATTTAAAAAAATAACACTCCGATTAAAACAAGTCAATGACTTAAAAAGTGTGACAAAACGCGAAACAATACAGTCATAAATTATGGCACTTTCCAGAATGGGATTGGAGTCATGTCTAAAAAAGTAACAACCTCTTTCGAAAAAATGATACAAGCGACAAAATTAATATATTAAACGTATCGATTGCAAATCGTGGAGCTTCAGATTGCTGATTATGTCTTTAAATCATCAATATCTATCATCAAAACCGGATTATGCTCATCATTTATAGATGCCTTCAAGGTAAAGACAATCTTTACATCTATGAGGTTGCCATCAATGGGCTGACATTGCGATGAGAACAAGAATTAATTCAAAGAATTATCGATTAAGTTTGTGTAGCCTTTAATTATTGTTTTGTGTCTTTTTGACATAATAACAGGTTAGCATTTTTATTTATCACATTTTTAGATTTCGAAAATATCTTCCATCAAACTTTTACAGAATTAAAAAGGAAGGTAGATGTTGTTTTTTTTTTAATTATATTTCTAAATAAGAGAATTATTTAATTTAGAATGTTTTAAAATATATATTAAAGATTTTATTAATGATTTAAATAAACATTGGAAATATTTTTCTAAGAAGTATTTTTCTTTATTAAAATTCTATTAACGGTTTTATTAAATAAATTATTTAGATAAAAGTAAAATGAATTTCAGAATAGAAAATTATTAAACATTTTGTGTCAACTATACTCAATAGGAAAAAAACCAAGAGCCGTTATATTACTTCTTTGGTTTTTAACTTTTTTATTTTAGCAAAATAAAATTTTTGTTTCTTTTCTTAAAAAAAAACTATATATTAACATTTAGAAATGAAAAATATACTAAAAAAATACGACACCATGGAATAATATAAATATGGACTATTTTTATTGAAAAAAAAGGCTTCCCGGAAAAAAACCGACTATTCAGCGTTTTCAAAATATCTTGATAAACCAGTACTTTCTTATGATTAGAAATGCTTTCTGCAAGCAAAGCATTCTTTGACCTAACAAATTCAAAGCATCTGTTGACCTAACATGCTGCATAAATATTTTAAAGTTAAAACATAATCTTAATTCTGGCTTGTCTTCCTTTATATATTTTTCTTTTAATTTTTCGATTAATTTTTTTTTCTCACTGCACTAATTTATAGCCAATTACGTAAATATTCCAAAACATTTTGATCAAAAACCATCAACCATATTAAATTTATTAAACTTCAATTAGATGGAAGATATAATAAATAAATTTGAGATAGATGCATTGATCATTTTCTTGAGACCTACAAGATACACTCTTATTTAAAAAGTAGAAAAAAAATTATGAAATATAGCATTCAAATAACATACTATATCATTTGTAGAATGTCTAACCATCTATGTAAGATCTACGACTTCCATCTCTTTATCTTAATTGATGCATCCTGTGGGAGTTATAAAATCCGTTCTCGATAAGAGCCGCATGGATTTCGTCAGATGCCAGATAAACTTGTAAGTTTTTTCTTTAAGGAATTAACTCCATATAACTTAGGAGTAAGATAAGTCACGATATCTTTATTAAATAAAATTTCAAAAGTTCATACGTGATAAAACTGAGAAGGGTTAGCTAATTTAAAGTATGCGAAGCATTTTTTCCCTCCGTTAGTTATAGTGTTTTTATTTTTTTCTCAAAGATGGACTGGCCATGTAATTAAAATATAGGGGGGGATGGCAAAAGCATGGTCTGTAGAAATACGCTTTGATAAAAAAAAATGGTAATAAACGACTGAAATGTTTTCAAAAAATTCAATGATAAACTCGACCCCTCCCCAATCTCTTTGTCTAGTGGTGAGAAAGGAGAAACTTCATAATCCTAAACATGAATCCCTTTTTTTATTGCAGATTTGGATTTTCCAGAAAAATATCCCGATTTCCCCTACAAGTTTTAGCATTTTAGTTCGCTGTAATCACAAAGTGAAATAGGAGTGTAAGATGCTTCTTTAAATAGACATATCTGGAGAAATGCATGTAGATACGTACAAATAGAAAAGTACAAATTTGTATATTTCAAATTTAAAAGAAAAATCCTGTCTAATATCACCAAACGCCCCCCCCCCCTCTCCCTTNCCCCCCCCCCCCCGTTTCAGGTCAGATGAGATCTCAGGTGGTGCGGCCAAGTTTGGAGGCTGGGTGTCAGGTTTTCTATTATTCGATACGTTTTTCCCCAAAAAAATAACAAACACGTCTGTTCATATTTTCGATCTGACATGTATTTATGTAGATATCTTCATTTGAAACTGATGTTCTTATCGTTTATCTTGATTATATCTACAACAGTTTTGGGGAAGATTGGGAGCAAATTTTACGTCAAACTCTTAAGTAGTAGATCACTTAGCTTACGTGTATAAAACTATCATTGACAGTAACAAGTTAACAAATAAAAGAAACAACACTTACTCGATACATGGAAATAAAAATGAGGATCTTTGACTTTATCCATGTTCTTCAAAACTTCCTCCTGAAGGGTAATCAATTCATTCTTATCCAAATCAACAGATCTCAAGCTTGGTAATGACTTAAAGACGGCGTCCGGAAGCATTTTGATTTTGTTCATCTTCAAATTAAGACTACGCAATTTTTCTAATCCTTGAAAAGCTCGTGGCCCGATGTGGTAAATCGCATTACTATGCAAGTCTAAATCGTCCAGTTTTGGCAATGCGTGAAAAATCTTGTCATTCAAAATCCGTATCTTATTATTTGACAGATCCAAACGAGTCAGAAGACGGATTCCACGGAACATGTACTCGGTGAGATCTTCGATTTCGTTCTCGAACAAATTTAATTCCCTCAAGTTCTGAAGATCGCAAAATGCGCAAGTTCCAATTCGAGAAATGCGATTCCGTTCCAGAAAAAGATTCTCAAGTTCCAAAAGACTAGTTAATGCATCCGCGTTGATTTCTTCGATTAGATTATCACTAAGTGATAATTTTTTTAGGCGTGGTAAATTTGTGATGGCATTTGATTGCAATTCAGAAATTTCACAGTTTTCCAATTTCAGAACGCGAAGAATTTTCAAGTCCGATATTGCATACGATTTCAGCTCGGTCAAATTGGCTTGCTGTATTTCCAAGTGTTCCAAAAAAGCCATCCGTCTCAAACTATCGGATGGAATTTTAGTAAACCTGATAACTCGCAAATTTGCATTCAGTTTTAAAACTACTACATTTTCAACAGAGCTCATTTCTCGCCAAAGTTTATTATCTTCATCCATGTCAGATTGTACAAAACACATCATTTTTGTGTGCAAATAATCTACATCACAAGTACACATCATTTCAGGAAAAAATTCTTCGCAAAATTCCTCATACGCTGCCGTAATTTTAAAAGTCCACAAAAAGATATAAAAGAGTAAGTTTCCAAAGATCCAATACATCTTCATCTGAAAAAATGAAAATATAAATTTAAAACCAATATCTTTTCAAATATTCGTTGATTAATTAATTAACAATCAAACATAAGTTTCTTAATTTATGAAAATCAAAACAAAATTCTAGATAAGCACAACGCTACATTCCAGTGTCAAAAATATATTTAATAATTCACCTTTGAACTGAATGAATCCACCTTAATTTTTTTTTAAAAATCACTTTAATAAAACTGAAGTCCTTTTAATGCATAATTATAATTCACTTTAATTGGTTAAAACCACTCTAAATAAAGCCACTTTAATTGGTCCAATCCACTTTAATGTAAATAAAGCCAATTTAATTGGTTAAATCTTTTTTAATACCAAGCCGCTTTAATTTATAATTCTAATTTAGTATAAATAAATTCGTTTCAATTAATGAAATCAAATTTAATAGGATAAATCATCCTTAAAGTTACTTCAATTATTTAAACCCACTTTAAGAAAAGCAAAACATAGTTGATTTTAAATATGAAAACAAAATATAACAGATGGTAGAAAAATAAGCTTATTATGTGTGTATTATCAAATATAATTCCAACAATTAAAACACGAAGTAATTATACATTTTGACCGCTTATTTTGAATTTTACATACTTAATAATATTATTTTTTGAAGGTTTTATTCTTTTCCATGGATTAGCACTAGTAATAGTGATAAGCTTCTCGCAGTCAGTAATGATTATTTATTTTCGTAGTCAGTACAGGTGGTTATTATCACTAATATAGGATATTATTAAAGCAGCCATTAACATATAACTAAAGAATCAAATTAACATGATTCCGGGCATAGGGAGTAGATTTTTTAACTCTTTTTGGTACGTTACATTTGAACACTCTAGCCCGGAAATATCACGGACACGAGAAATAAATAGAGGGCGAAATATCAACCAACTATTTTGAAGGGAGCAAGAAGAAAAGGGTTAAACCAGAGGCCAAAGTGGTCTATATAGACCCCCTGGGGTCTATTTAACAAAAGCGGGGGTCGACCTGAGCCAGGGGGTTGAATGGGGGTCGATCTGAATCGGAGGGGTAAATCGGTAAATTCAATCTTAACTACGTACAGTTATAAATTAAATGTGGAGTTTCGAGGGGATTTAAGATTAAAATTGACCAATTTTGAGCCCAATATAGCGAGCCTTGCAATAAAACACAGGGCACACCCATCTCATTGATTAAGAAGCAATAAATCTGTAGTTACTTTACTTATTATTTCTACTTATTTATAGTTACTTATTATTAAATAAATATTAAGGTATTTAAATTTCAACATTAATATATTTTTCATAAAACTAATGTTACACAATGTACTATTACTCTAAAAAATGCTTAAAATTATAAAATAAATGTAAAAACACAGTATCTAATAGAGTTTTATTTTAATTAACAGAAAATTAGTTTTATGGGGGTCGATGGAGATTTCGAAAAATTACAAAGGGGTCTATGATCAAAAAAGTTTGGCGGCCCATGGGTTAAACAAAATAACAACTGTCAGGATAAAAGAACGCAAATTAAAAATTTCTCGATAAAATTAAAATAACTAATTCATTATAATGGCAATTCGGTAAATAATGTAAGTTAAACTAATATTGAAAAGTTATAATTGAAATTATTTATGCCTTTTATTGTCTGTTACAACAAGGCATTTATGCTAAATCACGATATTGTGGTGAGGTAACAATAAAGAAGGCTGTAAATGTAAAAAATACTATTTTAAATAATAAACAATTTTAATGAATAAATTAGAAGAACAAAATTAATATAGTGGGGATATCAAATGATAGTAGTATAATTGTATTTTATTCTATAACAGTAGCTGAATAGCCGACCCAATTTTGGGTTTACGACTACCAATGTTCAACTTGTGATTTTGAGCCCAATCCAGAAGACAAGGGAGCTCCTAGATCAAGTATTGGGAAAAATTGCCTTCGTGTAGGACTTTTTTTATGGAACTAACCCACATTTGCGTTACACGGAAAGAAAAACCAAGAAGACTCCCCGCGGTTAGCCTGACGAGAAGGGGACTCTAACCCATGATCAGTCTACCACTGAGGATATTTTACTTCAGCACTGTGGTCAGTGCGAGCCGGGTGTGGAATTCGTATCGGCCAGACATCGCTGGGATTCGAACCCGGTACATCTCTTAGGAAGTCGAATAATCTTGTTATTAATATAGTCGAGCCTACCACGCAAATGCTACTTATTTAATGAGAAATATCACTGAAATATCAGTGATATTTCTCACTAAATAAGTAGCCTATTGACCTTTTGACTATTGGTGATGGAGAAATTTTGCAACAGCGCTACCGCATTTTCATGTAAAGACAAACTATAAGCTCATGTAGCTATTTAACAAAACTAGATACTTGACAAAAAATTTCTACTATCGTAATATTCTCTAATTCTCAGAATTTGCGATAAAACTAACAGACTAAAGACACCTTTTCCTGGCGAAATACTAGTTTCCTCTTGTTTTATAAATCTTTATGAATTTCCATAGTAAATTGCCCTTTCTTAGCCGTCGGACTAACCGTAAGAGGTTTACGTGGTTTTATCTTCTATGTAACGAAAATGCAAGTTAATACAATTGAAAAGAGTCCTCCACGAAGGGTAGTTAGCCTCATTGCCTGATCCAGGAGTGTCCTAATCTTCTGGGTTGGGTTCACTATTACAAGATGTAAAGAGCGTGAAGTTGTTACGGAGTTGAACATTGACTGTTGAACGCCGGTTTTAAAATACAATAAAATCACCCAAATTTGAAACACTGGGTCATTAATAACCTTTTATTAATAGTACAACTAGAGACCTTTGCCGCGGTAGCTTCGAAGCAGTTGCCAGGCTTATAATCCACCGAGCGCGTTCAGTGTTTACAAATTCTTGACATATACAAAATACTCGTCGAGTGCATTAAATTTGATTAAGTTTCTCACGCGACATCCTAAAAGTCTTACAAATCCAAACTGCAATTTAAAAATATCATTTTACTTCCTTTTTCCTCAACACATCATTATTTCACCAAGATTGTGTCAACTGTTCCATTTGCTAAGAAAACAGACGAGATTAAAGCGTAGACAATTCGACAAACGAGTGTTTTTAATTTATAGAACATCGGCTCATTTGAAGAACTTAAAGAGTATTTTTCCACCCAGCGATTTTTATATTACACTAAAAAGATCGATGAGTCAGTATCCATCAGGTGTCTTGGCGTTATATTTGGCCTCAGGAAGTCGTAGATTAACGTGACACAGAGATTTTTTTTTCCCTTCTCTGCAATGAAGATGGAAGCTTTGATACTTTTTTTTTTGTTGTTCTGGATGACTTCCAAGAATGATTGAAGGTGGTAATGTTGAATGAATCTTTTTTTCCCCTCTGGATAATGCTGTCGGAGTGAACTATAGAACAGAGGGGGACAAAAAAATATATAGCAGGTGACGTGTGTATGTCACATGCTGTCATCAAATAGCAACCCTTTTTCTTTTAACAATTATGACAAATATATCGTGTTATATTTTGAGCTGTTTATGGCTTTACAGAAAGTAGCATCACTGAAGAATAATTTAAATTCTACAGAATTTTTTTTTAAATTTTAAATTAGTAAATTAATAGATATTTTTAACGTAAGAAAATTCCCTAACGGCTATACTGAGATATGACTAGACTGAGATATGACCTACATAGAGGGAAATATCTGTATTATTTAAACATCGTGTTAACGATATTTTTAAAAGTATGTTCACGACATATTATGAACACGTGTATGTCACATGCTGTCATAAATAGAACTCTTTTCTTTTATCAATTATGTCAAACATGTCGTGTCTTTTAAATTAGCAAATATTTATAACTCACAAAAATTCACAAGCGCCTGTACTGAGAAGTAACTACAAATAGACTAACATCGATTGAAAAATCTATATTTTTTTAAACATCGTGTTAACGACATTTTTTAAAGTATTTTCACGAAATATAGCGAACACTTGTATATCCCATGCTGTTATAACAACATTTTTCTTTTAAAAAAAATGTCAAACATATTGTGTTATGTTTTGCGCTGTTTAAAACTACGTAAAGATGTAAAAATAGCAACACTAAAGAATAATGGGAATTATATAATTATGTTTTTAATTTTATATTAATAAATATTTAGTGACTACAAAAATTTACTATCGCCTGAATAGTTAGAACTGGAATACGTACCCTAAAATATCAATATTCTTTAACATCGTGATCACGATATTCTTAAAAGAATATCCAGTATACATCGCGAACACCATTTTGTAATATCGTATATATTATACTTATCAACAATAATACTATCATCGACAACAATAAATACCTAATACTATTAGCTAGCAAATATTATTGATATCGATAATTATCAATTACGATAATATCTCGAATATTTTCGATAATCATAATAATCGAATATGTATTACTGGTAAATGTTTATAAATTTAACTTGGATAATGATAATAGTGATTAGTACAGAAAAACCGTAAATAAGTTAGATTGAAAATATATCGTAAAATATCGGCGATTTTTTTTCTATTTATCGCAATATTAAATTTCCGATGTCGCTATGCACTAATTTTAACATTTATAGTATGACGCCTAGGAAATTTGAAACTTTTTGACATGCTTTTATCATGTGCTAAGATTACTGTCAGTATCCGTTAAGGATTTTGACATTCATATCTTGTTTTTTTTTATGTGTATGGTTATATAAGCAGCAATAACATCGTAGAGTAATTTGTAACGTATGGAAATAATGTATTTTTAAATTTAAATAAATTTATAATTAAAAAATATTCATTTGCAATCAATGTCATATACTTAAAATGTCATGTACTCGTGTTTAAAATTATTAAAAAAGAAAAAAGTAGAATTCCAAATATTCAAGGACAAGAGACTTTTGAAAATTTCCTCAAAAGCCTTATTTTACCTTTTAACTTATATAAAAACATATATTTCAG